TATCTGCATCGTTGCACTTCAGAATGGCATTCAAGCACAAATCCTCACACTTATCCTATGGTCATTAGTGCATTGTTTTCTCTGTCCTCTCCTGTTTATGTATCGAGTTCTATTTGCCAACTTTCCATGCGTTGCATTTTGTCACATGCATTGACTTTAATCCGTGACTTACACTGTGCCTTAAATCACGTGACCATCCTGTGATCTCGTATCGAGTTCACCGTGTGTTGCACTCCATGTTGCACCGAATATGGGTCACTTACCATTCGTTGGTGGCACACCGAAGCTCACACTACATACAGCCTACTATGTAGGCTGCAACTCGGACATGTCTTTTTTCACTCTACCTACAGTGTGTTTTTCGACCCATCGGTCACTGTTTACCGCCTCTTACATCTGTCAGTCCAGACTTTCGCGCTCAATACCACCCATCACTTTCATCAGCATCCTCCTTAGTACAGTCTATTAGTAGATTTCGGATACGCCCTTTTCTCTTGCGTAAGTCTTCGACTCCAACATTAACGTGACGCTGCAGCAGATCCGACTTTGTTGTACTACATCCCGTTGGCACCTCATAAATAATCGGTTCGTCGAGCAAAAGCCAACGGCGAATTAACTATCAAGTGCATCCGTTATAGGCCTCCTATATTACTCTGGTGCCCCATGCTGAGGCTGATGTTGCATTCTTGATGCTTCTTCACCGCAGTTGGGCTAAACCAACTTACACTTAAACTAGGTCTCTTTAAGCTGCATAAATTTCATTCCAGTTTATTTGGCTAGTTTTGTCTATCTGAATAGTCTTCTATTTGCTGGCCCCGTCGCTTACGCTAACTGCGCTTATCTTCGGTAATTTTGATGCGTTTGTAGCATTTTTGAGTAACTTGTGGACATTTTTTCCTTATCGCGGATTCATTGCTAGCCAACTTACTTCATATGCTAATTTAGCGAAGAGTTATGCCACCGTATCTATATGCATTATTGGATTTATTTTATTTTATTTGGTCGTTTCAAGTGATTGGCTGTTGCGTGATATCCCCGGTGTGGCTGCGCTTGATGTGCATGTTGACAAGGTGCCTACCTGTCTATTACCCACTACCTCGTCCATACTGGCTCCAGGAGACAGTTGGTCGTTGCTGGAGGGGACGGAGTGCACGGTCGTTGTTGCCGTGCTAGGCTCGAAGAGTGGTTCCATGCACTCAGTGTGGAGCGTACTACGGTCCAGCCACCGCCTTGTGTGCGCTTGATTCCCCAAATACAGTGTGCTTGTGTTTGCCTGTGAAGGAGTGTGGGCCGGCTCCGTTGATGAAACGTGGCTCCCATCCGCATGCCTCCTGGTCTTATTCCTTCGGGTTTACACTGGATATGGGGTGTGTGGTTGGAGCTGTGGGTGGTGCAGCGCAAGCCACCCATGGTCCCTCTGTAGGCGCAGGCGTCCTGTGGCTTGCCACAGTGACAGGCAAATCCGAACCCGGATGCCGCCAACCATATTACTCTGGGAAGTAGCCACTTATACCGCAAACGTGTTGGATCCATCTTTCTGGATCAATTTGAGTTGTCTGAAACGTCAGATATCCATCCTCTCTTCACGCATTTCCAACTGAGAACAAATGGCAGCGAGTGTATTTTTTACCTATGCACTGGATGCGATTCCAGTCCGCAAGCGGTTCACTCACCTCGTTCGTCAGGGACAGCTGATGCCACAATTCTGGCTGTCATTTTTTGCTTCATGGATTTCGAATATAGATGTCGAGCATGCATGCATTTAGCCGAGGCAGTAAGATTGAGTATTAGGTCGGCACGTATGAGCTAGTGATCAGAATCGATACAAGTACTCTAGGTAACTCTGCAATATTCCACTATCATGCGCCGTCTGGAACTTTTGGTGGTTACGTAGCCAATTTGCATTCAGAGCAGATTTCCGTTTATTGGCCGTCATGTAACCCGATATGAGCAGTTGTTTTGAAAGCTGTGCTTTTAACTGTGGGACGATCATTGGTGCAAACATTCTGAAGCCTATTGACCATGTTACTACTACAAGCATCGACCTCGAACCGGCCTCCGGGGCAATGTTCTAACTCCGATGAACCACCGACTTAAGCAGTTATGTCCCTTCACCGACCGCTGTGTCCGTGCTTCCAGCCATTCGAATTACGGAAAAGGTTTTTTGATAGCATACATCGCTGACAGCCATAATTGGTTAGAGCGCAGACAAAAACAGCAAAATGGCGCCTTTCCGTCAGCCGCTGGTTAGTAGCTTCAGTATAACGTTTGCCGGTTTTGGAGAAGTTTCTCCGGTTGCTAGTTAACCACGGAGGCCGAATGTTGTTTATTTAACTACTCAGCTTAGTCGTTTTGAACCACTTGTTACATCCAAGTGGATATCCCCACTGACTCCTTTTTCGCGTGTTTTACCTTTAGTTTGTTGCGCTCAATACATACTTCCGCTCCCGGATGCCTTGGTTGTCTATACTGCTACGCATGTTGCCTCTCTTTAACACATTTGCCTCCGCCTCCCCCAAATATCCTCTTGAACTCACCAGCAATGCATCTGGAATTTTTCTTATTAGTCTTTCTAATACCTTGTTTCCTTTTTCACTTTCGGCCAACCCCACGATTCTAAGCGTCAATTGGAGTTGTCAGAAGCGGTGCTTCTCGTTATTCCCCTTAATGATGATAGCAGTATGCCATTTGTGATATTATATACAGAGTGTTCATTTAAACAGCACACGGTTGAAGCAAAGCTGTTTAACCATATAAATTTTTCTATTCTTCGTTCGTCCTCATCCAACCTCACGTGGGCTGTTGGTTAGCTGTGGACATGATCTCCGTGTGCTGGCTCATTTGAGATTTCCTTCTCTAATGAACGCTCTGGTTTCACGTACGCATGGTGACGTCTTCTTCCTTTGCGCTACAGTATTGCCTGTCATTTCCCTTGCGATGGGGTTGCGGAATCCGCTTTGTTGGTGTGTTATGGAGCATAGGAGGCCTCACTACATGTTTAACCTGCACCGATTAATCTTATTGCAGTCCAACGGTTCATCCGGCATTACGGGTATATCTCTGGTTGCCACACATTCGCATTGGACCGAGAGTTACAACACTAGCCACCTTCCACAACCTTAGCGCTTAGTCGCGACGACTAGGGATAGTACTACCGCATCGGTTCACTCGGCGTGCCAAATGTGCACACAAGTGACACTCTTTTTTCCGCTTCATATTTTCGCACTCCGCCACAGATGTTATTCTTCTTAGGGCTATTTGGGCAAGGGTTCACACCAGCGGGTTTGGGGCCGCTAAATAAGGTACTCAACTCCATCGGTTGTAACACTTCTAACTGCGACTGGAACTTCGTTTCGTTGGTGTTAATTTGAGTTGTTTCATCCGGGGTGTGTTCGTTGGGACTTGCTGAAACGGCTGACTCAGCATGGCTGTTTAAATCTACGGGGCGGAACAGTTGACGCATCTCACTGTCTTCCTCGTTCTCTGCTACGACGTTCCTCTGGGTGCGGATGAACATGGTTGTAGATCGGACATCGATCTATCTCGACGCAAATCACGACCTCGTTCAGGAATGCTTGTCACATAGTATTCAGTGGATGACCAACGGGCCCAAAAATCAGCATTTGAATGAAGCGGAGAGGGTAATTAACCAGTCATTTAATGCAGAAACATTCTCGATTTGAAGGATTTAGCCAGCGTGGCTCACTGGTTCTATGTTTATATCATGTTCAACAAATCTTACAGCAGCCGATGAACTCGACTTTGTTAACTCTACTCTGAGTTGTCACATACACACACACGCACACAATTCCAACCACTCTTCACTAGCCTATTTTCTAGTTAGCCAAGGACAACCACTCTCGACTATCACCTTGCTACACTACTGAGTTGGAACAGCCGTCACACTGGTGCGGTTTGTGTCATTCAAGTATACATTACCAAAGAATGACCAAGTGGCCAGTCAACGGATGCGCTATGCATCCTTGAACTTAATGGCATTCGCTTATTATCTCCGGTTCATTCTGATTATGCTAGTGTCGCATATCCCTTTTGGTCATGCAATGTCTGATGTAGCGACACATCCAGTTTTCCCCTCGCCTTGGATGACTTTCCATCGAAAAAACACAATGTTAATCTTTGAGGTACCCACCGTGTGATTGAATGTCGACACGCAATCTGTATTAGGATCTCGGTTTACTTTGAAGTGGACCTCGATCCTTCCGGTCATTAAGACCCTGTACCCAACCCTTTCATTCGTTGTTGGCCGGCATGAGACTGTCCTCGAACCGGACATTTTCTTGAACAGGTTACGAAATTCTGAGGCCCACTCAACGCTTTATAACAAACGCATGTCTTTGTAGGGCTGTTATCACGCGAAGGAGAAATAGTTTTTGTTTGTGAACTGAGAACATCGGCACTAAACCCGTAGTCTAATAGAAACGGTCTTTGTTCAAATATCTGTAGCCACTGATCTGTCATCCTGCGGTTTGGCAAATTGTAATCTACACTCAGCACTTCAAGTAACCCAGGTTTTTGTTCTTACTTAAGTTAAACGACTCGTTAAAATTGGTTCCATATGTATCACCTATCGGTGCTTTAGATGCCTTTCGGCTGGTTGCTTTAACCGGATCTGCAACAAATTTGACTTTCCATATTGTGTCATTGTATTTCTCAATCTTATCAGACCCGTGATTTATAGCCAACCATAAGGTCGCAGCGGTTCGGTCTCCATCGCTCAGATCCAGAGTCCGCCCCTCCTCAGGAGTGCCTGCGGCGTTTCACTTCCACTGGGCTCTTGTTCTTTCCGATACTTTTTACGCTTCTTTGAAACTTTCTCCTACTGCGCATCATTGTCACCACCATCGTCCAATTCAACATTTTATGTTTAGCCACTTGCACTCATTCCAGTACAGTCTTGCTCAAAGTCCTTTCGTTACGATCTATTCCCTCCAGTGTTCAACGGTTTCATGTGCTCCCACTTTCTTGCTTTCTTTTGACAGAGCAAATGGGAAAATGAACAGGGTCAACTTACAACTCTGCGGGAACGACTGAAGGACAAAGACCAATCCGCGTCTGCTCGTGAGCGAGCACTGGAGCAACGCATCAAAGAACTCGAACATACTCTCTCTCGTACTAAAGTCGACGTAGTTCCTGACAATTCAGACAGACCAGTGAGCGTTGTCACTCCCTCTGGGGATACCCCCGCTCCTCCACCCCCGCCCCCTCCGCCCTTACCCCCACCTCCTCCTCCGGTGCCTTCCCTGAATACTCCACATCCCCCTCCACCTCCCGGACTTGGTCGTACTCCAGCTGGAGTGGAAGGTTAGTTCTCCTTCGGTGTTTCCCATCAAAATCCTATCGTTTATAGTAAGCAAACTTATCGACACTGTAGAATTATTCAATTCGCATAGGATCCTGTCGTGTGGGTCCCCAAGAGTTAAAGCGAAGTCTGGGTAGAGCCCAGCAATCCATTGTTCAGCGTTGTTCAATCTTGATGGCTCTCGACTATCCACTGTTCGTTGTCTGTCGTGTGTTATCTACGCGAATTTATTGGTCCACACGCGTTGTTCGCTCGCTGGCAGTCCAACCGTCGCTCGCCCTTACTGTGGCCACGTTCAGCCTTGTCGGTGCTAGGACGTACTAATCCTACCTTGTCCGTCTGGCTCATACAACTATGGCCAGCTCTCGTTGGTGGCACCTGACTCTTTCTGACGTCCGTTCTGTTCGTCTAAACCATCCACTATCACAAAATCGTAGGACAATTCAAATCCCTTGCCCATTCTGCTCACTTGCTTATATCTGACCAGGCTGTACAATGAGGTTGCACCGCATGAGTTGGGATGCAGAATCTACCTATCCCAATTTAGCTCTCGATTAAGTCTCACCATCGGTTTCGAGATACACGGCTTTCTGCTTTATTTTGCTTGTATAATCTTGCACATTCTGCGCCATGGCATTTCTTCGACAGCTTTACCCTTGTCCATGTGGAAGTGCACACTAACTTTACATTCCCATTCTCTTTGCACGCTCAATCGACGACGATGTCGATAGAGCGATCATTTTAAGCCCACCTCTTTATACTATTTCTGTTAAAACTCACGTGACCGTTCCTATAAGAACCATAGCGTTATTTCAGGGAATAGAGTTTAAGATGGTTTGGTTAAAACACGGGATATCCAACCATGGTTGCGTCTAATGTGAGATCTGTACTGCCTTCCCAAGTCCCCTGGAGATGTGTCCACTAGTCAATGTCGCTGCTGGTCCTATATCCGCTCCTCACGCCACTTCTCATTGGGAAATTAGTTGCGTCTCAGAGTTTTGGTCAACTACGACTAAGCTGAGCATACACGGTCTCGTTCGTCCTATGGACATAACTACGCTTTCGCTATAGCTGGGCGCCTGAGTGCCGTGGCTCAGACGTTTACTTCTTCCTTTCAACTGTTTGCTTCAGTTCGGATCAAAAAAGATTTTGCGCACCCGAATTGATGCGTTTTCGGTGTTTCTATTTTTTCCGAGGAACTACTGGACTACATACTACAGAACCCTGTAATGGGGAATGTATGCATACGTCAGTCATACAGAGACAGTCAAGCATCATAGGGATGTTTTTTGGAATCAACCAACTGGCTTGATAGACACGGTAGGGTAATGGTACGGTGAAGCTCGGAACAATGAGTTTTTACGTTTTTCCTTTAGCAGGAGCACATGACATTTTTAACGCTTATTCAGGGGGAAGTGAGTCATTCCGTATCTCCGGTTGCGTCGAAGTTCTCACTGAGATTGAAACCATCGACAGAATTCATGAATAGACCGTTGCTTCCAAAATGGACCTTAAACATTCCACAAACTGTAGTCCTTTCGAGGGAGGCCAGAGATGCTGACCGATGGAACAATTACATGCAGACACATGGAAGCTTCATATTCCCTAATTTGTGTCGGTCGCTATATTTTTGAACATATAAATTCCCTTAACTACCTGACCGCAGATTCCGTTGATTACAACCAAAGTGGAGGAGTTGTTTCCGATATCTCGCGATTCACCGGCTTAAACGAAAGTTGATGTAACATCATAGCACTTGGGAACGACGTAGTCCCATCTGACGAGTTCTCCTCTTTCTTATTGAATCACTGATCTCCTAATAATGGGAGCTTTACATTCACCGGCAGCATCGTCGGCACATTCGCATCTAGAAACCTGAAGGTATCGAAAATCTTTCACTTTGTAGGGAAAGCAGGTTGGGGGAAGAATTGCTTCCTAACGATCGACATGGCTTTTATCATTTCAGCGGATGTAGCGAGTGCGATCAGTCAAGCAGCCACTTCTTGCACTATTTGCTTTTCATTTTTCCTGGACAGTAGTTTTAGTTCAGTAGCATTTGTCTGTCAAGATTTTGCCGGGGAAAAATGACATTACTTCTTGATTTCTTTTTCTCGTTGTGTATGGCAACTTCGAGATGCGATACTACCTCTAGAGTAGAGCATTTACGTCCGTAGGCAGCTTGATGGCATCACCAACCTGAATGTCAGCGAAACTCCGGCGCATAAGCAGTTTTATAAGGTCTGAGCTACTTAGCAATGCCCGCAATTGGTGTGTATTTCTGGGACGTCTTTTTGGGCATTGATATTACTCGGACCGGTCTTGAAATTTCAGGGATAATGCCTGTAGTCTGATATTTGTTGAGCTTGTTCGTAGAGCTACTGGTACCTGAGTGTCTGCATCACCAACCTCATTTGGCTCCATACTTTTTAGTTTGCTAAACATCCTTGGGCTCAACGATCTTTTCTAAACCGGGGGCGGTGTGGACAGATAATGCGATTGTGTTGCCATGGGGTACTTCGGGTCTGTTCAAATTAAAAATGACATTCTGGTTGCAACAAATTTTTCCACGGAACTGTTTCGGAAACCACGGTTCTATATGGGGCTAGTGTATAGGCTTTGCCATATTGTTATCTCGGCTTTCATCACTAAAGACAGTCACTCGCCCCTGCTATTCACTTTCCATGTAAAATCCAGTTCCCTTTTCTACAACGTTGTTTAAATAGCGACGAAGCTATTATATCTACCTGCACCTCAATGGCTTCACTATGGCAACATACTTCAGAGCAGCATCGCATGTAACCGATAAAGTGCTTGCATTGAATGTCGGTTGGATGCTCTCCGTATCGTCTGTTGAACAGCTCCATCACCCAATCGCATTGTGTTCTTTTTACCATTGCGACATAGCGGAATCTGCTGTTAACCATGGGCTGAGAAGGTCTGTATGTTTAACGAGTGAATTTTGTTTGTGCAGACAAAATCCATCTGCGCTCCGTGTATGGTCTGCAAACTCACTCAGTTGGTGAGTCCCATTGTCCTGCTTGATGTTTTATCCCTCGTGTTAGAGCCATCGTTTGATTTCTGTAACAAAATCGCTGATACGTGATCTGACCTACCGTCTACTCTTATGTGATAGTGAGCTTGGAGCTGCATAGACGTTTCCGATGTCGACAAATCTTGACCGGGCCACAACATTTAGTTGGTATTCCGTCAACCGACATCTTGTCGTGGTTGTTGTGTATGTGTGCAGCAGGACTGCGCGGATATATTAGCACTGTCAAAGTAAATCCTGACATCATCGCGATTCTTTGGCTTTCCTGGGTAACCAGATCTAATGGGGCAGTGTCCACTGTTTTGAATAACTCTATCTTCCGCATTAGAGATCAATCAGCTCTATTGTATCCTGCTACATTCATATTCACGCTACACTGCAGACTAACCGTGGGAGTGTAGAGCAGTTTTGCTTGGGGGCAGTCACATTTCTAGAGAGGATCAAAGGAAATTGGGCCACATGGGCAGTGCAGCCGTCCGTGGCTGAGTCGCAAGTTTTCACAGCGCTTCCTCTCCTCGATATGCATCTGAACGTTTTCCTGTCTGTGTGGTTGTGTTCCACACAGTGCAAAAATTCTCGCGTTGACTCCTACTCGATCCAAAGGCTTGGCAACATATTAGTACGCGAGCGCGCTCGGCTGTGGTTCCACCTGAAAAATCCCAACCCCATCCTTAGGAAACCACAAAACTAGCAACACAGCAAAGGAATGAACAGTTAATTCACGGTCCCAGTCCCTCTCCCTAAGCTGTTGTCAGTATATGTGATAAGAGCCAAAAGTAAATCAACAATGCACCGGTACATCGCACGAACGCTTCTTTGCCACGCGGCCGCCTTCAGTCGCTCACGGGCTGTGGATACTTATCAGGTCTCACGTGCCTCTGCAGATTTGAACGGCGACCTGTGAATTACAAAACAGATGCGCTATGTCAGTCGATCACTGGCCATTTGAGCATCCTCTGACAAGGCCTTAATCACGCTTACTGCTTCCATTTTATGCTTACCCTTCTGTCGAATTTGTATGCTGTGGCACCAATCGACCTGGGACATTAGCAACTTTTAGTGCCTGTAACTCCGCTCTGTATTGGCCACACGTGACTACTGCGTCCGGCATTCCGTGAGGAACTTATCTCAACATCTGGTTGTTCCCCTTAAAGTTGCTCTTCATCAGCTTACTTGCCAGCGTACAACCAAGCTATCAAACTCACAATTCGAACCTTTTTCCGTCATTTGTAACTCACTCGAGGTTACATTAGTTTTATATCTATTCGCATATTTCGGTACTCCAGTCGCCAATACAGCGGGTGCGAGAGCCACCATAACCTGATGGTTCTCATCTCACTGAGGCAATCTGATTCCGCTAGGCACACTAACAGTAACATGGCGTCTGTATAATGATCCCAGACAGTGGGTACCCAACTCAACCGGAAACTCGAACAGGACGCTTTCCGCGACATCGGACTCGACACTTAACTGCATCGACGGCGGCCTAATAGAATTTTGTCGTATCTATCATCTCCACCTAAGGAATGCAAATGGCTGAACTGAAGTTCACTCCAAAATCAGTCAATTCCTGTCCAAATTGCCATTGGGCATCACAACGCATTCACACAACGAGGGTTCCGAAGAGATCATTAATCCATCGCTAATGCCGTTTTGACACTATAAGTATCTGACCAACTGACAATTTCACTCGCCGGTCTTACTTAATGATTGCCGAACTAGCTTGTCTTCAGGAGCCTCTGGGCCGTCTATTGCTTGCTGTGTACCATGGTACCTCTAATAACGGCTTATGCATAAACACGCTTTTGTGATCAGTAGACAGTGTTGGCGCTGCTCGTGAGTACTTTGATACGCATGAGTTCGATAGCATAGCGACAGAGTGATGATCCCCACGACTTTGGTCATATGCTAACCGCAGTGCCACGCGGCTGCTTGTCTGGTGGGGGGTAGTGC